TACTTTTTTTCTTGGCTGCATCAGTGAATCATCGGGCAAATAATAGAGACGATAAAGAAAATAAGAAATAAAGAATCGTCATCACTGTGACGAAATGTTTTTTGCTCAAATTTGAAACAGAAATGTGAAACTTCAATTCTGAACTTTAAGATTACATTTCCCACAGAAGAGAATGTGTTTCTGATCGTTTTCATTAATTCATGATAAACTCAAACTAAACATGAACTCGGACCACGTGTGACGACAACAGACAAACACATTATCGGTGTATTAATCACACGTGGGTCACGCTTCATGTCAGATACAACATGGATGACTCTGTGACTCCCCCAGGTGAGAGGCAGGATGGTGAGGAGGGGGGAAATGTTGGATGAAATCCCCAAGATGCCCGACTTCCTGGTGGCCCTGCGGCCCCACACCGTGTGGGAGAAGACTCCGGTCAAGTTGTTCTGCACCGTGCAGGGAAACCCGAGGCCCATCGTCAAATGGTCAGAACATTCCCGTCTTTAATTCACAGTCTTGGATCTTTAACATGTTGGTGTCATGTCTGAATCACGTAGGAGTCACGACGGCAGTTTGTTAAATTACTGAAATTAAAGACGTCAGATTAACGTAACGCCCAAAGAGACTCCGGCCTACAGAATGTTCTTACTTTGTAAATATCTGCTGTTTAAGTCCGCAGCACTTTTAGCTTTATTTCTGCAGCTGATGTTCTCGTGTCCTCACACAAACTGAACATCACACTGAAACACGACTGTGGGTTGTCTGCAGGTACAAAGGAGGAGCGCCCGTCGACCCGCTGAGCGTCCCAGGAAAGTACAAGATTGAAAACAAGTATGGAGTCCACAGTCTGATCATTAGCAGGTGAGTTTCACCCTCGACTCTGACAAACAACTCCGTTCACACCAAAGCTCCAGAAATAGGTTTTTCTTCTATGGCTCTAATATAATAAAATATATATAAATAATGATATCAAGTGTTTCCTCCTAATTAGAAACTAATCGTTCCTTCGTTATCGCCTGAAAAGCTAAAACACAGTTTGCCTGAGACGCAGTGAGAGGAGCGTTAGATTGAGGGTTCGTGTCCCGCCGGGGGTTCGTCGTCTTCAAGACTCCTCAGCTGTTCGTGTTGGAGTGCTGACCTTTGTGTCATTCGAGCCTTGAATTCCTCCCGCCCTCTCTCCCTCCCTCTCTCCCGCCCTCAGAATATCACCAGCCCTCCATCATTACATTACAGGGTCAGTGAGGCGGCTGCCGTTTGGTTTAATGTCCCCAACTTTGTCCAAATTGTGTATTTTCTCATTGAGAGAAAAGTAAAAATGTCTCAGACTCGGTTTATGTCCCCTCACAGCTGCTATTTTAACCACCGCTAAAATAGCAGCGTCCGGGGTGAAGGTCACATTTCTTCTTCCTGCTATTCTCACCCTCAGAGCGTCACACGGCCGCCGCCGCCTCACTTCACCTTCTGCTCAGAGCGGCCAAAGGGTGAGGTCACTCCTCTAAAGAGGCCGAACGCCATGTCTCCTGCTGTAGTCAGACTTCTCCCTCGAGCGGTTGAGGTCTTATTGAGGAAAGCTCAGCTGCTCCGTGAGCTAATGTTAAACTCTGTGTTTAACTCTCAGCTGCTTGAGTCCGACAATGTGGATATGACACTTATCACTATTGCATAATGTCCGTTGGGTGTGTCGGAGCTGCAGACGCCGCACAGGGTTCATTAAACATCCACAGACACTATGTGTGATTTAAATAATCCATAAACATTTACTCACAAAACACTCAAATCTAATCACGTCAGAAAAGATGAAAATACAACGTCCACCTCCTGAAGTTCTTGAGGTCAGTCCCTGATCTCGGTTTTCTCTCCGTCCGTAAAATGTTTTTAAATACGCAGAATCGTATATTTGTATATTTTTGTTTGTCCCACAATGAGGACATTTGAAATATATAAATGGAATAAAAAGTAATATATACAGATTGCACATAAATCATTGGATTTCTTAATACAACACAGAACAACAATTGCTTTGAATACTAAATTAGAAAACTGTCCCGTTTGTATCTGTTAAAGTCTGA